GCGGCAGGCGCGGCGGGCCCAAGCTCTCGCGGCGCGGCGGCTTCGCGGCTGCAGGGCTCCAAGAGCGGCACCAGGCGCTGATGACGGGGCAGTGAGCGGTGCAGTGCTCTCACACAGCTGGCAGGGAGGTCGCGGGGCCACCCAACAGGCCGGGGCCCCGCCTCTGATGTCCTGCCGGCCCGCGCCATTCCTGCTCCCTGGTGGGTGCGCTCAGGTGGCCCCGCTGACCATTGATGCTGCAGGGGACAGGGGCGCTCCATCGCGCGACGCCGACCGCCGCCGCTGCACGGCGAGAGTACTGCAAGTGCGCGCGGCCACCGTAATGGTGGCTGGCGCAGGCGGGGGCAAGTGGCCTGTGCTTACGCCAACTGTCCCGCACTGCCCTGGCTGTCCTGCCCGATAATGGCCTCAAAACGATGGGCATTCACCAGCGCGTGGCTGATCAATGATTATACACCACCTGCACCTCTCGTGCACGAGAGAAGTCTCCTTCCTCCGTGCAAGCAAGATGGTTGTGCTGGGATGGGTTTGGGAACCACACAACGCAGTCTTGAAATCATTGGACTGCACATGCCGTGGCATCATAATTTTACATCGTATCTTTCTTCAGGAACGATCACATCACATTGCCGTGCTGAGGCCAACCGCGTCGCCAGCCTGTTGGCAGCACACGTCCTGGTAGTTCTTCCCTGGCGCGGTGCCCAGAGGCTGGGTCCATCCTCCCCCTCTAGGGTTGTAGTTCTTCCCTGGCGCGCTGTTGCTGGGCCTGCGTGCTCACAGAACATCCCCACAGCGTTGGGGGGTGTGGGGTGGGGTCCACATTGCCAGCATGCTGCGGCGGGTGCGAGCTGCGTGGGTGCAAACTCACTTGGCAGGCGGCATTGCTCCGTTGCTTGCCAGCCCGTACACCGCTGCTTGTGCATTGTAAGGTAAATGTTGGGGACCTGGTAATGCGCCACAATCTTGCCAGGCTGCAACTAGACATCAGATAGATTACGTTTAGCAGTTTGTTAGGACATCGCATGTCAGGGGCCAGAGGTAGGCATGGCTGGGGGAGCAGAGGTTGAGCCAGAGCAGGAAAGCGCTGTGTGTGCTGAGTGAGTTGTGTGGCTGCAGACAAAGCTGTCAGCCGCATGCAAATCCAGTTTTTGCTGCCCAGCTGGCGTCCTCACTGCGCGCAGCATGTCACAGTCTTGATTGATGGCAGGGGAAAAGATATGCGTGATGTTGGGACCCCCCCCCCCCAACGGGGGGGGGCCGTGCACTGGCTTTCGCCGCTGCAGTGATCGCACAGAACGGTTATGACCATTGCAGCGCACCAGGCAGCATTGTCTGCATTTTGCACGGTACTGGAGCCCTTCAGGGTTGATGGCAAAGGCTACAGTATCCAGGGCTTGCACCCAGTTACAAGACTCCCGACGCTCCGGTTCTGTATAACATGGGGGTGTCGTGTGCAAGCAGTGCCATTTTTGGGGCGCCGCCTCTATAGCCCCGCCACAGCCCAGTGGGCTGTTGAGTTTTGTGACTACTACAAGTGTTGATTCCTGTCCACTGTGTGAAGCATGCCACTGCCAGTACAGTCATCCCCTGCTACAGCGAACCCCGCCATAGCGAGAACCCTGCGTACAGCGAACGCCGCCGCTACCCCCAATACCAGCAGCTGCCCACTTTCGCTTTTCGCGATAGCGAAAAAGCGGGCTGTAGCGAATGTGCCGCCGACCCCTGATGGGTTCACTGTGATGACAGGCCAACTTTCACTGTTATCTCACAATATCCCCTGTCAGTGCATCTGAACAAGCCTGTCAGGGTGTGTTAATGTATGATCATGATTGTGGTTCACCTAGTGATTCAGGCAGTGCATGGCGATCAAAGGTGCTCATGTCGCATTGCCTATGGTGGCATAAGGTTCAGGCACCCCAGACACTGATCACTTGTCCCTCCAAATGTGCTTGCTTTGCCAGCTGCGAATTTTTGATTGACAATTCCTTTGCGTATTTGACGTGGCTTGTGTTTGGCTCCCTACTCTGGTAATGTTTGAGGGCCAGCTGCAACTTGGCGATTTGTATGAATGTGATTACTGCGATCCGAAGAAGAGTATATGAGCACTCAAAATATTACACGTTGCGGTTGCGGACAAGACACACTCAATCTCTCGCTCCGCTCAGTGCAAACAACCCTACAAGAACATGCACAACAAACACTTAAGCCAGGCGGGGGGCGTTGGCGAAGATGTTGTTGACGGTGGGGTTGGCCAGGTGCTCCTCCAGGTTGGCAACGGGGCCCTTGCTGGTGACGATGGCCTGGATGAAGAAGCCCAGCATGGAGAACATGGCCAGGCGGCCGTTCTTGATCTCCTTCACCTGGGGTTTCAAGTGAAAGGTGAGGAAGCAAGTGATTGTTCAGATGAGTGCACATCGGTGTACTACGCGCAAGTGCACCTGCCAACTCCGGCTCGCATCAAGCCAATAATGTGCATGTCTGAGATGGTGCTCATGACACATACACAACGATGTGTTCATGTTCCCCACCCAGCGAGCCAACCCCTTCAGCCGCCCCATGCCCCCCACCTTGAGCTCAGCGAAGGTGTCGGGGTCGTCGGCCAGGCCCAGGGGGTCAAAGGCACCGCCGGGGTAGAGGGTGTCCGAGCCCTCAGCGAAGCCGCCGGGGGCGGAGCCGTTGAAGCGGTAGCTCTCAGCGGCGCCCATCACCACAACCTGTGTGTTGGGGTAGTTTCAAGCATTGTTGTGTTGAGATAGGTCGAAGATACCATGGCAGCGTCATCAAGGCAACAGCGTTGTAATTCCCCGTCAGGACCCTGCACGGTACCACTTCCCCCATGATGCTGCTGCTGCGCACCTGGAAAGCCAGGGTGGCCAGGATGGACTGGGCGTGCACCAGGCTGGGGTTGCCCAGGTAGTTGAGGCCATCCTCAGCGAAGATGCCGGCACCCGCCTTGAACCAAACACCGGCATCAGCGAACGGCACACCGTTCTTGGCCAGCAGCTCGGGGGTCAGGCAGCCCAGAGCGCCGAGCATGGCCCAGCGGGCGTGGATGAGCTCCACCTCCCTGTAGCGGGAGAAGGTGGCGGGGTCGGCCGACAGGCCGGCGGTGTCCCAGCCGTAGTCACCGGGGAACTCGCCAGTCAGGTAGTCGGGGGTCTCACCCTCGAACGGGCCTGGGGATCGGGCATGCAGGGCAAGGGTCAGCCCGCGTGTGGATCCACTGAGTGCGCAGGAAAGCTGCCTACAGTACCATGTCGCGGATGCCTTGCCACCAGGTTTGACGTCACAGGGCAGGCTGCCTGGTGCCGAGCACTGCAGCAGCTCCTGCCACCGCTGGCTCCAAGTGCTGCAACATTTATGTCAAAAGAACGTGGTGTCGCAGCTCGCCGAAACACGGACATATGCACCAAAGATCTCGTGGACAACGCCCGGATCCCCGAAGCTGGCAGCCCTGGTCCTCGGCAACAAGCCTCGCTCCCGCGCTGCTCACCCAGGAACTTGGGCCTGTCGGGGCCGTACCACTCAACAGCCGCGCGGGGCACCACACGGGTGGCCTGGGGATGCAGGGATGGGCAGGGGCAAAGGGTGCCGGGGAGTGAGTCCCGAGGCCTCCCATCGCTAGATCGCGCAGGCAGGGCACCGCCAGCATATCAAGTGTCGTGAGACCTGGCTGGCACGCTCACCCTGGCGCCGGAGGCGGGCGCAGCGCGCAGGACGCTCTTGGAGGAGAGGGCGAAGGCCATTTTGGAGGAGTTTGAGTGACGTCTCACAAGTATCGGCTTGGAGGTGTGATACAAATCGCGAAACGCACGGGATTTCTACTCGCGGAGGAAGCGCGACAGATGCTAGGTCAAAACCTCGAGGTTTGGGGCCGCCCGCAGAACGGCCGATCGTGCATCCAGATACAGTTACGAGCACGCCAGCCACAAGATGCGACCCGCGGTGTGCCATGCGCACGCACTGCGCGCGCTCCCCACTTTGCCGCTATCTGCGCCTTGGCGCTGCTTCGCATGTGCTACTTGCTGGTGCCCCATGCACCCCCACCCCACCCTTGCCATGGGCCCAGGCCAGGCACAGCAGTGCCAGGTGCTGCATGGAGGCCTAGTAGTGTGCTTATGCTCACCTGGTGGTGGTGGTTAGCCACAGGCCTGGAAAGTGGCGCCAAAGACTGTCTCATGACGCCGCTGCATGCTGCTGCTGCTGCATAGCGCACACGCCACCCAGCTGCCGCCTTGCGCTACGCTGCTACTCCTGTACGCCGCGGGACTGCTGGTGGGGCCATCGCAATAATCTATGCGCCTGTTACTCCAGTTGGCTGGGCTGAGTGTGCCGGCTGTCAGAAACTGGGTGGCGGCGCTGGATCACCCCCATGACGCCACGCCCATGATCAACACCTGCAGATCTGCAGCCATGCCATGCCCAGAGCGATAGCATGTCCCTGGCACTGCCCCGCAATGCCTAGCCACCATGCTGGTCCACGGGCAATGCGGTCTGTAAGCTCGTGTGAGGCTGCATGAGCTGTTGAGGGCAAGAGGTGGCTGCTGCCATGGGACAGACGTGGCCTCACAGAGACTGTGTAAGTGAGTATGGTGCTGTTCGACGGGAGGTGCTTGTGAAGTGCAACTGTGCAACAAGGATGTGGCTCTGTGGATTGTTTGAGAACCGTGGATTGGAGACTGGGGCGGAGGGGTCCCGTTGTATTCCACGCTGCTGCTCACATAAGGCCATGACAACACCAGCGGTGGCACTGCTTGCTGCATCCCAGCCTCCTGCCAATATTGTACTTGAAAGCCATGCAGATTTAAAACATCATACTGCAACAATTGTGCAGCCTGCCTGCTGCTGCTCGCACCTGTGACAGGCGTGGCGTCCCACACTGCATTTCAACCCAAAATATCAGAAATTGGAATAACTCAGCACAAATTTGAACTGGTGAGTCCATACACTGTGCTGATCCGAAACTCAGGAACAGCACGCTTGCTAGCATGCTGGACTGCTGTGCCACGTCCAAGGAGTACTGCAGAGCAAGCTGCTGTAGGGTGATGCAGGAAGAATCGCAGGGGCGCCCCGCACATGTGATTCAACGCACAGCAAGTCAAGTGAACTGGAGCCTGGAGCAGGGTCTGGAGGTGTTACTTGTGATCGCCGCGCAAACGTCAGTGTTACAGGCCAGTTTAAAAACATGCTGGCCGACCAAAGCGATGCACTATGCGTGAGGTGAAAAGTGGGTTTGCCGCACAGGGCGGTGCAGGACTGCAGCCCACACGCAGGTGGATGCCAGGAGGCATAGTATGTGAATTGCCAGCTGCAGGGCGCGACGCCCCGCCCTAACCAGTGATCATGGTGCCCACCCCCTCGTCCGTCAGCAGCTCCATCAAGATGGAGTGGCGGCTGCGGCCGTCAATGATGTGTGTGGCGGTGACGCCCTGGCTGATGCAGCGGATGCAGCACTGGACCTGTGGGCATGGCCAGGGGTTGCAGCGTTGCCAAGGCGCGTTGGCCACGTGTCCATTGTGCCCATTTGAAGGGCAGCCCTCACCTAGTCAGCCCCACCGCTGCCAAAGCCTTCACATCACTCAACTTCAGCACTATTCGCCCACTGGCCGCAGCGTACACAATCCTCTTGTTTAAGAACACTCCTGCCCACGCCCCCACCCCCTGGGGACGCCCCTTGCAACCCCCCTCACCCCTCCCTCGCACCTTGGGGATCATGCCGCCCGCGATGATGCCCTCCTGAGTCAGCTCCCTGCAGGTCTTGATGTTCAGCTCAGCAAACTTGGTGCTAACATCATCCTTGTCGCGCAGCACGCCCGGTACGTCCGTCATCAGGATGAGCTTCTCCGCCTGCAGCGCTGCAGCAATCTCACCCGCCGCGGTGTCCGCGTTGACGTTGAGCGCCTGCCCCGACTCGTCAGTGGCGACGGTGGCCACCACGGGGATGTAGCCGCTGGCCACCAGGCTGCGCAGCAGCGTCGCGTCGACCTTGGTCACCTCGCCCACGTACCTTTAAGGTTTGTGTTGAGGAGCCGGGACTGGACTGGGAGAAAGGGCAAAACACCAGGCCAAAGCACTGCCCCAGGGCAACAATCAGGGCTTGCTTGTATGCGGCTCAGCCAGCAGTTGTCAGCCGCCCCAACAGCATGGCACCTGGCCCTGGCCCCCCACCCTGCAGGTTCAACATGCCGGCGGCCGTGCAAAACGGGCATACACGACTGGTAGTCGCACGACCCCTCCCGCCCTGAATCCCAGGCCCTGTCGCCCTCATACACCCCATTGGCGTCCCCAAACACCCCCACAACACACAAACACACACGCAAGCGCGCGCGAACGCACACACACACACACACACACACACACACACACACACACTCACACACACACTCACACACGCACGCACACATGCCAGCGTGCGTACCCAGCACCCACCCAATGTCCTTCTCCACCATTTGCCGTGCCCGCAGCAGGTCCCCGTCCTTGCCGCTCAGCCCCACGGCCTTGCCGCCCGCCTGCTGGATCAGGCTGACCAGCCCCTTGTTGACGCGGCCGCCAAGAACCATCTCAACCACCTCCATGGTGGGGGCTGCGGGGCGTTTGCATCAAACGCGCATGTTGCAACTGCTGCTTCCGCTGTTAATTGATGCTACAGTACCACGTGTTGGCGCAGGGGCTCGGCCTCATCCAGCCGGCACGCAGGCACCCATGCGGCGGTGCCCATGTCACTCACCGTCAGTGACTCGCAGGCCGTTTTTAAACTCGGGCTGGATGCCCAGCTTTGTGAGCCAGCTGTTGATCTCAGGGCCGCCGCCATGCACCAGCACAGGGCGGATGCCGACAGTCCACAGCAGCACCAGGTCCGTGATCACGCCAGCCTGAGACGTGTGCGGCGCAACGGGGCACGGAACGGCGCCGGTCGCACGCAATAAGGGCAATGTTGGCTGCGCAGGGGTGGTGAACGACGCTTTCCCAGCAGTAGCTCAAAACGGCATGCCACCACCGGCCTTGGAGATTTGCTGTGCCTGCAGGACGGACGCTCGCCTGCCGTGCTGTGTGGGGCCGGCTGCGCGGTCCCGGTCCCACCGGGGGCCGCTGCACAACACATACCTTGAGCGTGGGGTCCTTCATGGCGGCCCCGCCATACTTGACAACGATTGTTTTGCCCGCAAAACGCTGCATGTAGGGCAGAGCCTCCGCCAGAATAGACACCCGGTCCAGCTGGGTCAGCGCCGCGGTGACCTGCGACGCCCGCAGCAGCAAGCATGCGAGCTGTCCGCTGCTGCAAAGTGCCCATTTGGTGCGCATCAGTGGATGCCGCTGCTGCACCACATGACATACAGGCCGATCAGCACGCTGACATTGGTCACTTGATGAAGTAATTTGTTTCAAGAACCACATGGAGCAATGGGGCTCACTGGCTTGGTGTCAGTCGCCGCTCCGGCCATGCAACGGACGCTCAGCATGCCACGTGCAGCGGGCTTCAGAAGGCGGCTGCATGAGGCACACTGCACCGGACGCACTGCCGCGCCCGTCCGAAGCGAGGCCGCCATAAATCCACCAGATCTCAAAATATGTTGCGGTGGCCCTCACTCAAATTTCGTGTCACTGATTTGCAGTTCGAATATTTCGGAGGTCAAAGTTGCAAGCGCACAAAGCGTGCGATTACTGTGATCACGTGCTCCACTGGGATCGTCAGTGGTCAGTGGCAACCCTACCTGTCGTAGACAGGTCACTCAGTGTATTCATTATCATACGTTGTTCGAGGTATATGAGTACGGTGAGGATGCTGTGCTCGGGGCCTGCAAAGCATGCATACTGCAATACTGTACCTGTGTTTGCCGCTCACACTCACACCGACATTGGGCATTCAGCTTGGGCTGCACCAGAGACACTGAGGAATCCAGCAGTGGCTGCATGATACAGAGTGTCACCCCACAAGACAAGACAGTGCATCCACCCATTTTGCTGGCAGGTGCCGGCAGCATTTTGACCATTGCCACCCATCCAGTCACCACCAACTTCGTTCAATGCATGCTAGAATTGTGGGGCAGGGCAACGTGTGCAGTGCCAGCAAACAGTGATATCCACGATGCCAGGATGATCACTGCATGCTGGATCAATACGCTTGTCATATGTCATCATTGGCATGTTGTTTGACTGCATTGACCTGCCACACGCAGCAAGCTGGTGCGCACACGGCGCAGGTTTATGTTTCAATGACACTTTTGGCATTCAATGACATGCACGTTGGAGGTCTGAGAGACCGAGTGACCATGCAGTCGCAAGTTCAGGATGAGGCGACGTAAGGACCATACGCGGATCACCAACACCCTGGAGATGGAAGGGGGGGAAGGGTTTGCAGCATGCAAGCATCTGTCAACGTATAACGGTGTGACAGAAGTATACTTTTCTCATTGCAGTTGTAGTCGGCTGTCACTGTCTCACCGGGGGCGATGGCAAGTGTGCGGCAAGCAGCAGAGGGCCCGAAATAAATGGGGTATCCTGCTCAACCCATGCAAACGGAACTTGTAGCAACAACCACCTACGTGTTGGCAAGTTGATCAGAGTGGCAGAAGGCGCTTGAGCGCGGGATAGGGAAGGTTTCATCACAGACACAATCCTTCGAATGAGAAGGCGCCAGTTGCCATGAGGTGGCCAGGTTTGCGGGTCACTGCTGGCTTGCACTTGCAGCCCCCGCTCAACCCAACATGCCTTGCAGTGCACCTGCACAGTTTGCCAGCAACTAAGAGTGGCCCACAGGCACCTGCTGTTGAAGTCACGCTTGCCCGGTCAACCGCTGCTGAGCAGCAAATGCCGGCCCTGCTTATGTCATGGCCTTATGTGACGCCTTGGAATCACACCCGTTCAATTTCCCTGCCCTGCCTTAACCGTACAGAAGCTCAGTTTTCTGTATTTGATTGTTTTGATCTTCACACATGTACATGCACAACATGTCACATACACTAGCACGCTTGACGCACCTCATGGCAACAGATCTGTTGCTGCACGCAGCACCTGGCAACTGCGCCAGAGCTGATGGCAGGCCTTGTGAAGCACAGCAACTCAAATTGTAGAGTCACCTGTACCAGCACAACAGCAACAGACGCATATTTTGAAGCAGTGGCGCTGGCGCTGGACGGCGTCATGGGGGGCGCACGCCTCAGCTGACACCGGTCTGTGAGCCAGGCTTGCCGAGCTCTTGCACCATGCGCCCAGTCGCTAAGACAGCATCGCCATGAAAACGGAGTGCTGGGCAAGCAGTGCAGCATTGTGCGGCGGCAGGCGCGCATAGCTCTGCAGCAGCTGCAGCATGCAACGGCATCATGGGACCGCCCCTGGCCCCAATGTGCGGGCGTGTGCCTCGACACCACTGCCAGGTGAGCGCAGACTATGCTGCTTGGCCTGCAGGGACAGATGGTCATTGCTTCACATGCCTTGGGCCCGGGGCCCTGGAGGGTGGGGTGGGGTGCTTAGGTCTGCAGCACGTAGCACCCGCATGTGGCACCTGCAAAGCACTGCAGTAGGAGATGGTGGCGCACGCCGGGAGTGTGCGGCGCACATGCACGCCACACTGCCGGTCGTATCTTGCGCCTGGTGTGCTCGAAACTGTATCTGGACGCACGATCGGCCGTCCTGCGGGCGGCCCCAAACCTCGAGGTTTTGACCTAGCATCTGTCGCGCTTCCTCCGCGAGTAGAAATCCCGTGCGTTTCGCGTTGCACATTACACCTCCAAGCCGTTACTTGTGAGACGTCACCCCACACCTTCAAAATGGCCTTCGCCCTCTCCTCCAAGAGCGCTCTGCGCGCTGCCCCCGCCTCCGGCGCCAGGGTGAGCGTGGCATCCGGGTCTTAGACTGCATCATACGGCCCAGCCCGGTCGATCCAGCAACAAGGGGCAGCCTGGCTGACCCCCGGCACCCTCACCCTTGCCCCCCCTTCGCTCCCCCAGGCCACCCGTGTGGTGCCCCGCGCGGCCGTTGAGTGGTACGGCCCCGACAGGCCCAAGTTCCTGGGTGAGCAGCGCGGGAGCGAGAAAAGCTTTCGAGGACGAGGGCTGCCAGCTTCGGGATTTTCTCCGGGCCGAGAGATCCGCGGTTGTTCAGACGATATGTGGGACTGTGCCAGCGGACCTCCAGCGCATCAGTCGCGTGTGGCAGCAGTGGACAACAGCCCCTGTGCAGGATCCACGCCGAAATCTGGGGCGCTTGGGAGTTGCTGGCAGCGGCAACCTCCTGGCACCACCACACTGCACTGCACTGCACTGCTGTCTTTGCGGAAGGGAGGCAGCAGCAGTGCAGTACAATGTCGATGCACACCGTGCTACACACGATGCTTGCTCCTCAGTGCTCCCAACTGGCTTCTTGGGTCTCCCTTGCCCTGCTGCTCTCACAGGTGCCTTCAGCGAGGCGGACACCCCCTCGTACCTGACCGGCGAGTTCCCCGGTGACTACGGCTGGGACACCGCCGGCCTGTCGGCTGACCCCGCCACCTTCGCCCGCTTCAGGACCATCGAGGTCATCCACGCCCGCTGGGCCATGCTCGGCGCTCTGGGCTGCATCACCCCCGAGCTCCTGGCCAAGAACGGCGTGCCGTTCGGCGAGTCCGCCGTCTGGTTCAAGGCCGGCACTGCCATCTTCGCTGACGATGGCCTCAACTACCTGGGCAACCCCAACCTGGTGCACGCCCAGTCCATCCTGGCCACCCTCGGCTTCCAGGTGTGCACAATGATGATCCCGTGAGGAGTGTTGCACAGAGTTGCCGTCTGTGAAAAGGTTGTCAAACTATGTCTCAACTATGACCATGAGCGCAGCGAATGAGTGCAATCTGTGGTAAGATTGTGATGGCAGCTGGGGCATGTGATAACAGTGTGGCTCACCCAATCCTGATCACGAAGCTGACGCATCTGTGCCCCCACTTTTGTGCAGCTCGTGGTGATGGGTGCCGCGGAGAGCTTCCGCTACAACGGCGAGGCCCCCGGCGGCTTCGGCGAGGGCCTGGACACCCTCTACCCCGGTGAGGCCTTCGACCCCCTGGGCCTGGCTGACGACCCCGACACCCTGGCCGAGCTCAAGGTCAAGGAGATCAAGAACGGCCGCCTGGCCATGTTCTCCATGTTCGGCTGTGAGTTTCACGGGGAATGCAGAGGCAGACTGCGCTATGGGCTGTGCTTGATGTGTCCTTTGGCTTGTGCTTTTGCCTGTGTCTGGCGCACATGCCACATAACAGCTAGACTCTCCCATGACGGTACCCCCACCCCCTGGCCCGCCCTGCAGTCTTCGTGCAGGGCCTGGTGACCGGCGAGGGCCCCATCGCCAACCTGGACAGCCACCTGGCTGAGCCCGGCACCAACAACGCCTGGGCGTTCGCCAGCAAGTACCTGCCTGCGTAAATGTTGTTGTTGTGATTTTTATTCTCTCACCACCGAGTGTCATCCCGAGGCGTCTGCCCTGCATGCAGCATTCCTCTGGGCTGCAAAGCCCAAGAGAGCATCAGCTCGTGAAGGGCTTGTACCCATTGACTTGGGTTTGTAAAGAGTGAATCTCAAACTCATGTGAGTCTGTGAACAAGCTACAGCAAGTGAAGGGCTGACGTCCCAATAACACCTGACCCATTCAGTGCAGTAAATCAGGACACAGCGAGTTTGCCATACATTGTAGTGCATTTCAACTCGTGCCTGCACAACAGCTTCCCCCCTTCGATGCATGGTCTGAACATGTTGGTTCCGTGACGTGCAAACACAAAACTGTTGTTCTGCAAGTGGTCAGAACAGGTTATCACATGACTTGCACATAGCTCTACTGCACCTCACCGACAGCGACTGTACACTTCAAGTGGAGCGGTACACAAGAAAGGGACACAACTGGAGACGGGCACCTATCATGCAAGCAGGGATGAGCATAAACGACATCAGGTTGGGCGGTTGCCATGGCAACGTCGCACACGGTGTGCACAGCATGCAGCAGTGTACAGTATCCCACTCCACATGAGTGTTCCTGCCCGTCACCTGTGACGCAGAGGCCAGTTACTGTACTGTTTTGCGCCGGTGTGCGCTGCAACACCACCAACAGGGGCGTTTCTGGTGTCACTGCCCTGGCAAAGTCTGCAACGCACTGAAATGCTGCAGTTTGTTGATGACATTCAAAAACAATACATATGCAGGAAGGGCAGGGTAACAGCAGGGCCATAGCAAGGCGGCTTTACCAGGCGTGCTCGCACCTGAGGCCTACAAGCTTGTAGACATCCATGCCGTTCCAGCCGTAACCCCTGTAGGTATCATACAATGGTTCACATGCGCAGTGAGCGGCAGGTCGATCAAATTTTTGTCAACTGTGTGCACGTGTGCCCCCAGCGATGAAGCAGCTGCCGGCCCCACGCGCTGACAGTGGGTGTTGAGGCGCCCGCGCGCAGGTGTGCCCGCCTGTATGCGGTCCATTCCACCAGTGTCCCCTGATACCGAAGCAAAACACTATGCTATTATCATTTTGGCCTGCTACGAAATGATTCTTTAGAATTTGTCTGTACCGTCACGGGCCGTATTGAATTGTCCGTTGAAGATCTGTGTGCAGGCTCGCACGATACAGTATCAGAGTAACCAGACTATTACTATTACATGCATGTCACGAGCAGCGAGCATGCCGGTGCAGCGAGAACCATGGCCACTGTCTCAGCAGTCGGCCCGGTGCTGCGCTCCTCTATTGCTCGTGCTGCTGTTGGCTGGTTCGCTATTGATGAGTGCCAAGGTGGCCCTGTGGCGCCAAGTGAGGACTGAATTCAATGGTGGGTGTGAAGGTTTTGTAACGTAATATATCCAATAACAAAAGTTCTTCGCTGTCCGCTAGTGTTCAAGCGGAAGCAGTGGGTCCCGAACCACTCAACCAACCCTCATGGGCCCGCCACAGGGTTGATGCGGCCAGCAGGGCCCCGAGCTGTCGTGAGCGCCCTGGAGCCGGAACTGCTCTCCGCTGTCGGCACCTTCGACCCTGCTTACGCCAGCCCCTGCTGGTGTGCACCCGGCGCACTCGGCGAGCCAGTTGATGTGGCTTTTCCTGATGCGGTGCGGCCAAGACACCATCAGTGGATGTTCGCTACACTTCACGAGGCGCCATCTGCTGGGCGCGCACCCGTGCATGGCACACACGAGTCAGCACGCACAAGTGCACAGGCAATCATTTAGTGCACAGGCAACCCTCACCTCTCTTGTACCAGGCAGCGAGAGGGCCACAGTCTGGGCTGCCTCCCAGCATTCTACATCCTGTCGCCCCATCAAGCGGGCGGCAAGAGCCTCTACGCAGCAATCACAGGCCACCCGCAAGTTGTGTCGGCTCACAATCCCCACACACAGGTATGTGTCAACCCCGGTCGCTGCGTCCTGGCTCTGTGCGGCTCGTGCATGCCGCTTGTAGGTGCTGCTCGCAGCCATGCGTTGGCGCGTGCTGCCAGTTGTCCCTCGCCTGTGTTTGCCATCCCCCCAGCCAATGCGCCCTGAAGAACCAAGGCCACCACACCTGCCTTCCTCGCGCGCAGTTCTGGAGTGGCGAGCACATGACCATGCCCGAGTACGCGGCCGCCTTTGACGCGTCCGCAGCCAGGGCTGCCGCCGATCCCCGGCTGCTGATCGGTGACGCCAGCGAGCAGACGCTCACCTACTACTACGCGCAAAACATGCGCGGCCACCGCCGCTGGAGCGCGGTCGTGCCGGCCTGCTTCGACGGCTGCGCACGGAACCACACAGACCAGGCGGCGCCGGCGTTCGTTGAGTGCGCGGAGGAGTGCTGGCGGCGCGGCGAGCGGGCGCATGCAGAGGTTTGCTTCGCCCCGTGACCCAGGAGGGTTTCCGGGCTCAGTGGCCCGCGGGCCTTAGTCGGCCTTGGCCCTGGCAAAGTGCCTCTGCCTGCAATACGGTCTGAGCGCTGCACGTTGGGTTGATGGCGGCCCGCACGACTCCCCGCTGCGGGGCCCCCCGCCCCGCCACGCATGCAGCACGCGCGCGCCGTCGGCGCCCCGGGCCGCGAGGCCCTGAAGGTGCCTCTGATGATGCGCGCCGCCTACAAGGCGTCCCCGCCGCGGCTCGTGGTGCTGCTGCGTGAACCCACGGAGCGGCTGCACAGCGCCTTCTACGAGTACGGGCAGTACAGGGACAGGTGCCCTGAGGGGGAGGAAGAGGGGGAGGGCGGGAGCGGGCGGATGGGTGGCAGACACAGTGGTACGACAGGGACGTGCGGACGCGGGTGATGAGCGCGGGTGACGAGGGCTGTTTATATAGCGCAGACGCGTGTGCAAGTTGGGCTGCATCGGTGCCTCTTGGCCTGGCAATTGTGCGCAGCCTGCGCAGTGGCCCAAATGCATGCCGTGACACCGCTCACGTGCCGTGCCTGTGCCCCACCTGTGCGCCCCTCACACACATGCACGCGCCCCTCCCGCGTGCAACCCTAGGTATGGGGACTCCCCAGAGGGCGAGATCAAGTTTGTGGAGGACCAGGTTGGGGCGCTGGAGCGCTGCGCCAGGAAGCAGATCACGAAAGACAGGGGCAAAGCCGGCGCCAGGCAGAGCGACGGTGACGGCGCCGGCGGGCCGATGCTGCCGGCGGAGCGGCGCTGCGCTCTCGTGTTCGAGTCGCTGGGATACGAGGAGGAGCGCGTTTTCTTCCACTGTGATCAGGTGGGGTGAGGCGTTCGGCGTGCGCGCGCATGGGTCCAGGGCTGAGGGCTTGCATTTTGCCGGTTCAGCAGTCACGAGCACGTGGCATGGCTGGCTTCGCAGCGTATTCTGCTGCATTGCGCCATCGGTGCGGCCGCACCGCGTCCTGAGGCCCCGACCAGCGACGCGCGCGCACACACAAGGCGTCGACATGCATTGTTGGTGGCTATGCCACAACACACACACACACACAGATTGGGGCATGCATAACGCCTTCCCCCCCCTCAACTCTCAATTCCCACTCCCGCCCAAAACGCCACCACCTCCACCAGGTGTTGCGGGGCCTCTACGCGCTCTACCTAGAGCAGTGGCTGGCCCTCTGGCCACGCGACAGGGTGCTGCTGCTGCTCTCAGAGGACTGGTTCCAACGGCCCAGGCAGACGCTGGCCCGCGTGACCTCCTTCCTCGGACTGCCCGGGGATGTGGCGGCGGACGACGCGCTCTGGCGGCGGCTGAGGGCGGCGGAGGTGCGCCGCCCGCCCAACGGCAGCACGCGCGGCATGCCAGCAGCGGCACGGCAAAGGGCGAGGGCGTTTTATGCGCCCCATAACGAGTGGCTGGGGCGGCTCATGGGGCTGGGGTCGCGCAGCCCCTGGGAGGGACGGCCGCCATGGGCGCCCACTCGGGCAGAGTTTGAGGGCGATGACGACACCGAGCCGGGCGTTGGCCGCCCGCGCCTGGAAACATGAGCGTTGTAGTGAGTGAGGAGTGCGCCTGCTTGATTTGAGTCCTTTTTCTCTTGCTGCTCTGTCCGTTTTGTTTGCCCGGGCTCGGTGTACATCTGTTCTGCCCACTGCCATGCCCAGGTGATTTGATGGTTTGGGTCGTGTTCGTGGTAAGTCTTGTTGCAAATACCTAGTCGGCAGTCGATCTGCAGACGATCGTCAATTACCAGTGTCAGGTACGAAGCCAGCATCAAACCGGTCAGCAGACACGCGCCTGCCACGCAGGCGCAAGGAGGGTGGGCCACTAAACACGGTCCGCAGCGCTTTTGGGGGTCCTCGCTCCAAGATTGGGGGCCCTGCCCCGACAACATCAAGCTATGGCACAGACAGCAGCAACGGTCAGGCACAATTGACAGGCAAGATCCTTTACAACAAGTTCATGCAGGCAGCCTTGGTGGCTGCCCTCCCTACTGCAGCTGTCATACCCCAAACCCAAGACCCTGTCGTCAAGTCAACCCCTCAGCCCTGCCGTGCCGGTCCACGCGTCCGCGTGTCGCGCCCCGCGCTGCCGCCGCATAGCACGTCATCAGACAACTCCTTGCGCAACACACCCGGCAGCGACGCCTCGGCCGCCCCCGCCCCCGCCGCAGCTGCCGTCCCACGCCCCCCACTCTTGTTGGCGATGCTGGAGCCAGCCGCCGCCTCGCCGTCCTTGGCGCCCAGGCGCGCCCTGCCGATCGGTGCAATGTGGCGCTGCACCGCGCCCCCAGCATCCACACTCGACCCTCGTGGCGGCTTTGGCCCATGATCGGCATCCCGGCTATCGCCACCGCCGGCAGCTTCACCGACGCCGCCACCATCGGCCCCCACCGCCAGGCGCGCGGTGCGCCCAAGCGCGGCCGCCACTGCGGTGAAGGGTGTGGCAGGCGCGCCGTAGCAC